AGCCACAGAGAGGGAGAGGTCACTGTGGGCAGAGGCGGGGGATGGCAGCGAGCAGCCACTTGGCTGGGGCCAGAGGCCCACAAAGCCAAGGAGAAGCACACCGCCATGCTCCAACCAGCCTGATATGAGCTTCAAAACCGAGATTCACCAGGAAACCTGTGTTTTCCTCTTCTGAGAGAAAAGGTCAAAGAGCTGTGGCCTGCAGCTGAGGAGAATGGCCTCTGCTAAACTGCCTTTCCCTTACATTCTCCTCTCTCTCTCTCCTTTAATAAGAAGGGTGTTCCCTTCCTCAAAGGGAGAGAGAGGGAGGGAGGGAGGGAGAGAGAGACTGTAAACTGTCCAAAAGGACCGTGAGAAAACAGGAAGCTTTGAAAAGTACAAGAGAAAGCAAGATGAAATCTATTTGCAGGCGGCCCCTGGGGACATGTGAGGCATTGTTAGGCAGGCAGCTCATACAGCTATATCCTTCCTTCTGCTGAGGAGGGCTTTGCTGCCAAAAGGCTGCTATCTGGTCACTGCCTTAACCCCCTCAATGCCAGCCTGCAAACCCTGACCCCAACACTGGGGCCTCAGAGTACCCCAACTGGTTTCTCCCCTTTTGGAGCATCAAAAAGCTTGAGGGGGAAACAGAGCCAGTTTGGCAGTGTTGGTGGAGACACTTTTCAGGGAGACCTCATCCCTCTATTAACAGCTCTGTCCCCAGTCTTTAGCCTCTGCTGCAGATGACCTGGTGATTCATAACTTAGGCAGCTCCTGGCTTCACCCATCTCAAAAGAGAATTTGTCCCGGAAATTCTGGATGGCTGCTTTTCCTGGACAGGTTTCCCAAAGACGGCAGCTGGTTCTTTGCTATCATGGAGTGCGGCCGCTACAAGGACAGTATCCAAATCAACGCCTGTGTGCTTACGCAGAATCTGGGAAGCATATTTCTGAAACATGGCTTAAGTCTACAGGCTCAGGTCTCTGGAAAAACTCCAGCTGGCTCCTAGAAGCAAGGAGTCCAGAAGTGAGCCAATAGCAAAAGAGCCCAGAAGGGCAGTAATTTTTTTATAAGGGGGGCGGGGGGGAAGAAACATAGAATGGAAACCTTTTCTCTCTTTAATTTTCCATCCTATTGTTAAAGCCTAATCCCACAGTGAGTGAACATTTCTGCCTGCTAGGGACAGCTGTTTCCACTGAGCTCAGGGCCGGAGAAAACTAGTTCATGACAGGAGGAGGGATTTATGTCAGAAAGAAATTTTAATGAGAATCCTAAGAAATTAGAATCTGTTACTAAAAGAATCTTCCTTGCTGCAAGACTTTGAGTAAAGGAGATAGTGCTAACTCTTGACGTGTGGCTGGAGCGAGGCCTGCCTCTTTTTTCCAGCCACGTCAATTGTGTGCAGGAATAACTCTTCCCTGTTACCATGAGAAAGTTCGAGTTTAGTTAGCTGGGGCTGTTCTACAACATCACCATGCAGCCAGCCAGCCAGTGATCTCGGATGACTATGAATTGCACAGCAATAAGCAAGTGGCCCTTCATCCCTCTCCCAACTCCCAAACCCCCAACAACCTCCACCCATGGCCAGATTTCCAAAAATCCAGCACAACACAGATAGGAAGCAAGGTCCACAGGACACCATCTTGAGGTGGCCCATCCCACAGTGGGATCTGAAGCTAGTTTACAAACATAAAGGGCCTTGGTACATAGCCTGTACCCTCAGACATGCGCTGAAAGTCTTTTGAGATGAAGAAGGATGATGGTACATAAAGGAGGGGGACGCTTTGCAAGAAGATGGGGACAGGGACAGGAAGAACCTGGCAGTATGCTTCTGGCACTTTCCAGGAGACAGGGAGCTCTGGGTCAAGGTAACTGAAATCTGTTCTTGTTTCAGAAATGTATAAGAATGGAGAAGGACCGCCTAATTTTGGCCAAAATGCCCTATAACATCCATTACTATTATCACAGTATGCTTCTGGCACTTTCCAGGAGACAGGGAGCTCTGGGTCAAGGTAACTGAAATCTGTCCTTGTTTCAGAAATGTATAAGAATGGAGAAGGACCACCTAATTTTGGCCAAAATGCCCTATAACATCCATTACTATTATCATTTTTTTTTTTTTGGTCTAATGATAGATACCCTCTAGGCAGCCTCCTGACTGGACTTACCCACCAGGAAGAAGTGACCTCTGAAAAAGATCAGTCCAATTCCTATGCCGAGCCCATCTCCTATTGTAAAGTACAAACTACATTGTTTCAAATCTGGCATTCCGTTTTATAAACCACTCTCTCATGGGATCTGATGGTGTGGACCAGGCATCCAGAACCCAGTCAACCCTCAATGCAGAGGTGTAATGGAGTTTTTGAACTGTAAAGCTGTCAGATGCACTTTGAGAAATGGACAGTGCACTGTCATTGGGGTGGAGGATGAGGGGCCAGTCATTGGGGAAGGAAGGGCTGAAATACCAGCCAGGATGGCTCGCTGCATCATTGGTCCAGGCTGCAGTGCACTGTGCAGTCTTCTGTGCACTGGCATGAGAGAGAACCCTCTAGATGCTCAGACACTACCTGGTCTAAGAAATCCTCCAGGCCCCTCTAGAACTGCCTCTGTACCCCTAAATCACATACAACCTGCATTGGCTCTCCCCCTGACAAATCTCTTGGTTTCAGGGATATTTTCTGCCTGGTTGTACCACTACCGCTAGACCGGAATTGATGAAGTGGAGGTGGGAGATGGCCGGATTGGACAGGGGTGGATTTTTAGAGGACAATACACTATGCTAAATAGCTCTCTTTATATTTTAACAACTTTACTCCACTACCAGTTGATAAGATAAAAAATACAGTTAATGCTTGAAACCTGAGAGTAAACTCAACTCAAGCAGTGGAGAATGGCAGAGACCTTCCTCACACTTTCATTACAGCAGACAGTAACCCTCTGTAGGAGGGAACCTCTCTGTTAACTGTGCAGTGCTCTATGGGCTCAATGAAGAAGACAAATCCAAGAAGTGCCTAAAAAGAGAAGAGATGGTCTGTGGAGTCCACGGCCTCATGCAGCCATGGCTGGCTTCACCGGTGTGCCACACAGGATCCCATATTCAAAAGGGTCATGAGTGCACTTTAATCCTCTACTTTCACCATCTTGAAATTCTTAACAATGTCTGAACAAGGGGCCTTGCCTTTCCATTTTGCACTGGGCCCTAACAATTGTGCAGCCATCCTGCGTGAAGCTTCCTGCCTCTTTAGCTTGGCTGACTCAAGATGGACATAAATTGACTTTCAAACCACTGGGAACTTGAGGAAAAGGAGGGGAAACAGAAGTGGGTGGCAGGAAAAGGCTGGAGGGAAAAGCCTCCCTCTCCCACCTCCGGACAATGCCCACACAGGTCTAGGGAAGCTCTGGTTCCTGACCCCTCACCCCGTCCAGGAGTTGCCAACACAGGAAAGAAGGCAGCTTCACAGGGGGTTCTTCAAGTGGGGGACACGCTGCAGAGGGATAAAAGCAGGATGCACGGAACCCTGCTTCAGGAATAGGGATCAACCAAGAGTATCATTCAGACCCCATCAGACGTGCAGTAACAGAGGGCAGGAAGACTTCCTTTTCAAGAAGAAGGGCTATGGTGATATCTGAATGTGGTAATTTCCCTCTTCTTCCCCCTCAGCCCTCTCCTCCTGACTGGGATGACACTTACCAGTACATTCAAATCCTTCTCATTTTAGAAGTGGAGGAGGAAAACGATGTTGGGGGTGGGGACAGCCTTGGGAAGCCCAAGCATTTGTGACTAACACCAGTCAGTACCTTGGGCTTTACCAATCTCCAACTCACACATTTTCTCAGCTGATAAAATAAAAACCCAACCAAGTTAATCTGACACAGAGATTTTAACAAAGATGCTCAATCCCTGTGCAATATGGTACTTAGGAGTAAGTGAAAAACATTTCAGATGACTGTGCTCAGTTATTCCTCGGCCCGAGCAAGCTCTTCCGAAGTCCTCTGAAGGACTAGCTTTGGAATCCCTTTCCTCCTCTCTGGGAGGCCTGCCGTCAAATTATATGGCTCAGCCCAAATGTCAGGAGAGGAGTAGGAGAGGAGGGAGGGAAAGGGGGCTATGCTGGAAGTTTTCTCTGACTCCTTTCTGTGTACTACTCATTGACTTGTACGGGTAGAAGGGCTGCATCTGGTCTGTCCTCTCTGGAACAGGTGCTCCCCACAGCACCTTCATCCTTTAACAACCTCCTTCTCCAAAGGGGCCTTCCACCCTCAGACCTTCCCCTACCACCTGCCTCCACCCCCAGGCCCTGAAGACACAGCGAGACCAACAGGGCAGGCTCCCAGGGCTGGTGTGAGCATAGGAGATGTAGAAAGAGGGAAAGAGCGCAGATGGGACTGGGGTTGGCTGTGGACCTACTCTGAGCCTCAGTGGCCCCGTTGATGAAATGGAATAGAAGGTTCCCCGGGGACCCGCCCCCATAGGGCATTTGCTCAATCCTGGTCTTCCCTTTCCGCCCTCCTCCCAGGGCCTGCTGCCCACCTTGCATTTGAAAGGCTTCACATCAGAGTGGACGATCATGTGCGCCTTGAGGGTCTGCTTCTGCACGAAGCTCTTGTAGCAGAGGTGACACTGGTAGGCGCGGATGTTTGTGTGGATCAGCACATGTCTCTTCATGTTGGCCAGCAGGGTGAACTCCCGCCCGCAAATCCCACATTTGTGCTCCTTCACGCCCTGCAGAAGGGCGAGATTCAGAAAAGTGGTGGTGAACAGGTAACCTGCCTTCATCAGAATTACAGGCTTTCTTTTTCTCTCTGCCACATAAATCCACCAAGAGTTTGGTAGTACATGAGTTCCAAATGGTGTAGCTTTAGCCTTAGTAAAGGTGTTGATTACATAATCTTTTTTTTTTTTTTTTTCTGAAAACCGTAAACTAGTCTACGGCCATACCACCCTGAACGCGCCCGATCTTGTCTGAAAACTATAAACTAACTAGACCACTAGGGGAAAAGAAAGTCATTGCTTTTGTTGCTCCTGTTGCTGCTGGGGTTAATTCTGCATTAACAGTTCTCAGGGATTAATAGGATTTTAGTAGGAGCACTGTGGAATGACATGCGAAACGAGTCTATAATCCAGCTTTCATGATAATGAAAAAATAAAAATAAAACCTTCTAAACTGATATTATCATTTCTTATATGAAAACCAATGTCCTCTTGAGTGCTCATTAATGGACCTGAAAATCCCAGAAGAACAGCTCATATCCACACTTCTATGAATTACAGCTTGATAATCGCCCTCTCGAGTTGGTCCCCTGGGTTCCCACAGGCCATACTGACCTCTGTGTGACATGGTTATGAAGCTTCCTCTAAGCCAGCTCTCTTCTATAGAGAAATTTGGCAGGGGACAGTTTTCTGCGTTAGAAAACAGGACAGGAGGCTGTTTGTGGAGAAGTGTTTGAATACGTAAATACCAATGTCCTCAACTGAGAGCATTTCCAGGACTCAGCTTGAGTAGAGCATTAGCTAACCCTGACTCAACCATCACTTCCTCGATAAGGTCTTTTTGCAAGAAATCTTGACCCAGAATGACCTCTGCGAAGGAAAACTTAGAGAACCATGTCACCAAAACAAAGGTTATTACAGGATTAAAACAAGTTAATTAACAACTGTGCCTTATAAAATCCATAATGCCTAGTATCCCTAAGGAGGGAGGGATTCTAAACTCAGCCCTGACTCTCTTTGCCTAGATTTCTATTTCTTTAATTTGGGGCATGAAAGTACCACTCCTCAGTTCTGGTGAGCCCATGGCACTGCAGGGTGAACTCAGGTCTCTGCCCAGCTATTTACTGGCTGCATAACCTTAGACAAGTCCTGTGGCCTTTCCTGGTGAAGGCTTCTCATCTCAAGAGGAAGTGGTAGGTCACAAGAACCCTGGGGTTCTTCCCAGCTCCAACACTCTCTAATATGGACAGTTGCAGATGAGTATGGATTTATGCTAATAAAGAGATCTAGGAATCAACCTCCTTTAAAAATTAAATTTTAACGCCCTTATAAGAAGATGAATTTTTAAAATGTATTGCATATTCAAACAGTGAGTTTCAAATTATGAAATTAATGAAAAATATTTTCTTGATGGGTTTCAAAATTCACATCAGTATCTTTCTTGTCTCAAGATTTTCTCTGGGCTTGGCTATATGTATGATCCAGTGGTCCTGGGACCAAAGAGAAGTCTTTACTTATCACTGTTTTCAGAATTCTTTAAAGAGAATTCTGTGTCCAAAGTTTGATTCCCATGTGAGCTTGCCTAAAAGGCAAATGAATAGGAATTTGAACACAGCTTTGGGGCAACAAAGGAAGCTGTTGTGTCTCTGATAGGACCAGTGAAATCACAGAGAGCGAGCCTCGGGATGGTAAGGCGAGGAGGGGGTAGGGGATGGAAAAGGGGACGTCTTGACTGTAGAGTGTCCAAGACCCGTGCTGGTGTCAGATTCCTGAGTGAGGTCCCCATGCCTCCATGCCTTCATCTGCCAACTGGGAGTAGGTCTTAGAGTTGCTGAGAAGTAAATGAGGATTAAATGAAAAGTAAAGCACCTGCCATAGAGCACGTGTTCAATGAACACTACTGCTTGCTGTTTGCATTTTGTTTCCTAATTCAAATTAAACTTATTTCAGACTCCAGGTTGTTTCTCCCATTTTGACTTCATTTTCTACTATCTTACCAAATCTATTTCTTCTAAAATGCACCTTTGATTCCTTTCCCACATATGCAGGAGGCCCTGAAATAAGCAAATGGTCCCCTTTGTGGCTACGTATCAGCCTAGGTCCTTTGTTGATGGTTCCTGTACTTGGCAGGTAACTCCCCTCTGGATGGTATCTACGGGTGCTTTTTGTAGGGCAGGAGCTGTTTGTGCAGAGCCCACAAGGCAGCCACACATTCCATCTCTGCTGCAGAGCCAGAAAATGCCCAGTGTTTTGTCCTAACCTAACAAATGAAACCCATTATAGCAGCATAGAAACATTATCCCAGCTGGGCAAAGTCCTCCACTGACCTTTCAGAATGAAAGAATGTTTTAGAAATTCTTGTCAGCAGTCTTTCCTGCCGAGAAAACCACCTGAGGTCAAGGGTGTGAGGGTAGAGGTCAGTGGAGCAAAACTCCCCTCTCAAAAGCTCAAAGCAGACCCAAGTCAGCTTTGCTGGGGTAAGGTTTCAGGGATGCCACTAGGGCCTTGTTCTAGTTCAGCTTAATGACTCCAGAGCTTTGGTTATAAATTAGGCTGAACTTAGACCCTTGGGCCTGTATTTCTCCTTGAAGACCTGAGGAAGATAAAACCAACCCAAATAAAGAAGGATGCTTTCTCCAGCCTCCTACCACATAAAGCACAGGGCACTGAACCCAACTAGGTAGGGGCTCAACCTGGGGAAGCATAGGCCCTGCTGGATGGGCCAAGCCCTGCTCCCCTCAGAGCCACCTGCATGTCAAGCTGGTCTTACAGGTGGTGGAGAAAACAAACCAAAAGGTAGCCAGTGCTTCAGTAGCAAACAACCAAGAAAATTCTCTAGAAGAAGGTTTTCACTGGCATATGCCAGGCATAGAGGTGATCTAGGGTTTGAGGACACACTCATGCTAGTTCCCTTGCTGAAGTTTCTGGAAGCAAAATTCTAGGGATTCTTGGGGGCTAGGAAGCAACAGCACGACCACCATCTGTGCCCTCCATCCTTCCTCGTCCTCCCCTCCGGATGTCTGTATTATCTATTTCTAGGCCCACCGTGGACTCCAGAATGCTGACTGGGGAAAGGGCTCTCCTCATTGCCTCCAATTTAAAGGTGAGGAAGAACCTCAGGGCTCAGGCAGGAGAGCCCCTTTCCCGGGGATGCGCAGCTCCCGGGGGCCCAGGTGGGAGGTGCGCAGTCCTGGCGCCGGTGCCCAGGGCTCGGCTGGCTCTCCCCGAGACCCGCCCGGCCGCCCGGGGCCCCGCGGTACCTTGTGCGTGAGCGAGTGCTGCTTGAGGTGGTGCGGCTGCACGAACTCCATGCCGCACTCGGAGCAGATGTAGGGCCGGATGTCCCTGTGCTTCATCATGTGGTTCTGCAGCTGGCTCGGGTACTGGAAGGTCTTGTCGCACTCGGAGCAGTTGTACTGGATGGGGCCCCGGTGCGTGGTGAGGTGCCTCTTCAGCTGGGCCAGCGTGGGGAAGTCGAGGCCGCACTCCACGCAGATGTTCTCCCGGCCGCTGGCGTGCTTGGCCTCGTGCGCCTTGAGCTCGCTGGGGTAGGCGAAGCCCCGGCCACACACGCGGCAGTTGTGCGGCTTCACCTCGCTGTGCTGCATCATGTGGCGCTTCAGGTGGCTGGTCTGGGTGAAGGCCTTGTGGCACACCTGGCACTTGTGGGGCCGCGTGCCCTGGTGGGTCAGCATGTGCGTGTGCAGGTGGCTGAGCTGCTTGAAGAGCTTGCCGCAGCGGGCGCACGCGTGCGGCTTGATCCCGCTGTGGCCCAGGATGTGCGTCACCAGGTTGTACTTGGAGGTGTAGGACTTGTCGCAGGTGGGGCATTGCCAGCGCTTCTGCGCCCCGCCCACATCCACGTAGTAGCTGTCGTCGATCTGCACGTTCACGTCCACCCTCTCCACTTTCTGCTTGGTCTCCTCACTGTCCTGGGGCTCGGCTTTCCAGGGCAGCAGAGGCTCGGGGGGCTGCTTGGGCAGGAAGGTGTGCCGGCCGAAGGGGAAGGGCGAGGCCGAGGGCATGAAGAAGGGGAACACGAGGCCCGGGTGCACCTTGGGGTAGTACGGGTAGGGCGTGGGCAGGAATGGAGGGGGTGTCGGCTGGGGCCACACGGCGCTGGGCTTAATGGGCTCCTGCTTGACGGGTTTGGCCCCCAAGTGCTCCAGGGTGCGGTAGAACTGGAAGCCCACGTTGCACAGGTCGATCATCTGAGAGTCATACTTGGGGCGCGGGGGCTGCGGGAACAGCAAAGGCAGGCTCGAAGGGCCGTGGGTTTTGTTCTCCTCGGGGTGGAGGGCAAGAGCGGCTTCTTCTGCAGCGTGGCTATAGGGCATCTTTGTGGGCATGCTCTTCCGTTTCCGAGACCCACCTCCTTCAAAGACCCCAGGGAATCCGTCTAGGTCTCCTGGAGGAGGTTCATACCGAAACTGGGAGAAAGGCCCCCGGAGAGCCTCTGGGAAGGGGTGCCTTTGGGGAGCTTTCCCTCGGGAAGCCACGGGCTGCGGGCAGTGGGGAAAGGAGGGGGTACTCTTCATACCCAAGTTGAAATGCACATCCTCATCTTTGATCATCTTCATTTCCTTCTGCATCCTTGGCAAATTTCCTTTAAAGAGAAATAAACTTATTGTGTGGTTTTGTTTTTGGTTTTCTTTTATTTTGTTTTAAATCCTATTTTCCCTTAAGGGTTTTGGCTACTTATCAGTACTAATTTTTGAAGAGTAATATTTGTTTCATATTGACGCTCACTTATCCTGGGGATATTCAAAACATCACTTTTCTTTCTCCTTGCAAACCCAGTTACTAATGAGGAAAGCACTGGCCTCCTGCGGTGGCACCGTGGGGCTGAATCAAATTGGGCTACAGTGTAAATCCAGCTACAAAACCACGGGAGAGAGGTGGGGCGCGGGGGGTTGGCCGGGGAGGCAGTGGACTTGTTTGGGAAGAAACCTGAGAACTCATGTGGTCATTGTCCCATTTAAGATGAGGGTGCCAAGGCCCATAGAGATGAAGTGACATGCTCAATATACACAGCTACTCAGTGGAGGGGTCAGAACTAGGGCACATTCTGCTGCAGCTTTTCAATCTGAGATGTAATTGTATCTGCTAGTGGTGATTTCAACGTGTCTTTTAGGGTCATTTCTTCTATATGGGAACCAGTTTTCACTGCTACTCCCATATTCAGGTCTTTGCTGTTGGAGGATGGGGATATTTAAGGCCATGTAGGGGAAGAGGCTTTAATGCTTAACTCAGATGTAATATTTTCTACTGCTACTCCCATATTCAGGTCTTTGCTGTTGGAGGATGGGGATATTTAAGGCCATGTAGGAGAAGAGGCTTTAATGCTTAACTCAGATGTAATATTTTCGACATGATTATGACAAAAACCACTTTCAAGGTATGGTAAGATGTTTTAAAGTCTACACTAGGGGCCAGTATTCTGTCCTGTTTAGATCATACTAGGAGAACTGTCTTAAATTCTGATCACTAAAGAGACTGACAAAGTGAAACGTGTAGCACAAAGGAAAAATGAGAAAACGAAAGTTTAGAAACCATGAAATATAAGGGACGGTTGAAAGAATTGGATCTGTTTGACTTGAAATAGGATCTAACTTTTTTGGTTTTATTTTATTTTTTTTTTTCCTTTTTGTCTTTTTTCGTGTCCGGCAACGGATCGCAACCCTCAGTGTTGCGCCCGTACCGGACCGGGACCGGCAACGGGATCGCAACCCTTGGTGTTGCTCCCACACCTCGCTCAGCCAGTGAGTGGGAACCAGTCTGTATGTGGGATCCGAACCCTCGGCGGGAGTGCCACTGCGCTCCCAAGCGGCGCACTGTAGCAGTGCGCCACCGGGCCGGCCCTAGATGTAATATTTTCTGAGTGTTCACTCTGAGCAAGGTGTGCTGCTGAGGTGCATTGAGTGGATGAGAACAACATGATTAAGAAAAGCATTTTGGGTAACCCAGTGCTATAAAGTCATCTTGGCAATTGACACATTCTAATCTTCAACCTGAAGCCACTTCAGGGAAAAAAATCCCCAGATCATGAATCTCTAAAGCCCCACTTAGGTTTCTCCCTTCATACAGATGTCAAAATAAAGGGCAGCCTTTGGTGACTCCTGTGGTGCCTGACATTTCTCCTGCTGAGCCAGTTACTGTGCCCTGGTGACCACACCAGGCATGTCTGAAAGCGCCTGTGAGGCTGGAGTCTGCACCAGGGGCAGTTTTTCCTTTCACAGGCTCTTTGCTGTTTTTCTGTCTTCCTCACATGGATACTGATGCAATGAACAAGTGGTGACTCCACATTTCCAGTGAGAGTCTTTTCTCACCAAGTCCTCTGGGTTTGAATGGGATTGGTCCCCCTTGCTCATCAAAGGTTCCCATGGAGCCAGTTGGCCTGGCAAGGTGTAAGGCTTGACCTAGGGCCATTGGAGACAGGCTGGAAGAGGGTTCCGGACTAACATAGGGCTCTGGCCTCTGGGAATGCCTATAAAGCAGACAGTGCAGGGTGAGGGTCCCAGTGATGAGAGCTATGGTTCTTGGTGAGGCAGACGCAGTTTTCACAAGCGTCTAGATATTTTCAAATTGCATATATGTCTTCTTGAGAGGTTTGAGAACTGCAGTCCAATCAAAACAAAAATGTGCCTATTTGTTTTTGATTACCCAGTCCATATGCAGACAATCCAATTGAGGGAAAAATGTGTGTCCTTATTATATGAATATTTGGGCATTATTTAAAGCTGTTATATGAAATTGGTCAGAGAAGTAAAAAATAATATCTGTTAATATTTTCTCCATATTTCTGTGAGTGGGAAGAGAGCCTTGGCTTGTCTTTCTCTCCATGGGGTTGGGACTTAGTAATTAGGAACAAGAGTATGTGTGTCCAGTAAGTGGGAGGTCCAGCCTGCATCCAATCCTTGCTTCTCCTAAAATTCTCTCTGAAATGCTAGGTCATCTACCACTGCTGCCTTGGAGACACAGCAGTTGTGGGAAGTGAGGAGGGAAGTAGCAGAATGGAATGTCTAGCTCTGAGACCCAGAGGGGCACAGTAGGTAGGAAGATGAGATTTGTGGTGCTGCTGCTATCAGAAGGGACGATGGGGACAGCAGAGGCTCTTTGATGATTTTCTACATTTACTAGATAGTCTACTGGCTTGCCATTCAGCGGGTCCTGGATCTCTAGATCTGCATAGAGTTATAGAAGGTGTGGCCCTGGTCCAAGAATTTGTTGCATCTATAAAAATAATTGGCATTCAGGCAAGGCTAAATGTGTCTTATTGAACTGGAAGGAAAAAATGGCAGATCCTTTTTGTGGAATTTCATTTTGGCCATGGTTGGCTTTATTTTATTTTATTTTATTTTCCTTTTTGTCTTTTTTTCGTGACCGGTAACGGGATCGCAACCCTCGGTGTCGCGCCCATACCACGACCAGCAACAGGATCGCAACCCTCGGTGTCGTGCCCGCACCACGCTCAACCAGTGAGTGGACCGGTCTCTATATGGGATCCGAACCTTCAGCGCCAAGCGGCGCACTCTACCGAGTGCGCCACCGGGCTGGCCCACGGTTGGCTTTATAACCCCTTTGGAGATAAGTTCCTTTTTGCAAAAAGGCTGCTTAGACTGGGAAAGTCTCTTTCAGGCTATAAGTACCTACGGCAAACTATAGCAGAGCCTATCCAAAAGCAAACTGGTCCTCTCTGTTTTATTCCTATCTGATTAAAGGAGGCAATAATTCCTACTTCATATCAGAGAGCTTAGTTTGAGAATTACCGAAAAAGAGACATGTCAGAACATGGACCAGAACTTACTGAGTTTCTTGTGTATTTTATTAAGGTACTTGAAAATGCATGGTTAATGATGTATTGCATCTTTATACCATATGCTGTATCTTATACTGGAAAGCTACCAACTTGCAAAGGAATATTGTCACTAATTTTGAAACCAAAGGTAATTTAGTTTATGCATATTTTTATTGTCTTTGTTCAATATTTTTGTTTTTAGTTGGGAAATAATCAAATAATTGATTCATTTTAATATAGTAGGAGTATTACTCCTAATATAATGCTAATTTCAAAAGCATATTTATTTTCAGTGTTTGCATTTTTATTTTATTACCATTGACCTAGTAAAGCAAAGAAACATTGAACAGAGATAATGTGTTTTTTTAACATAAAAGGCACAAGTATGTCCCCAAATGCAGACACTTTACATATGTACATTTTAATTTCTTACCTATTTTAATGCCATAAAATTAATTTTCCCCAGTTTCTGTCTTGTGTATATGATGATTCTCCCACCTCTAAAATAGTAGTCTGTGTGCCCCATGAATAAGATCAGTAACCCAGGAGGTTTAAAAAAACATTGGGATCCATCCATGGAAATTTTTATAGACCTTTAAAAAAGCAGCCCCTTTCTGCATAAAGATCTTAAGGAGCACCGCCAGTCTTTTCAGAGGTCAAGTAGAACGAGATCTTCTTTCCCTTTGGCCTTCTTGAGATAGAAATCCGCTGTGGCTGCTGCTGGTTATTAATATCCCTGTCTTTGAACATGGGGTGGTAAGGAGAAGTCCTAGGGGAAAGTAACAACAACAAACACAAAATCCAGAAAACAAACCTGTATCGGGGATGGGAAGTGTTCAAGGGAAGATCAGGGAAAGGATGTCTTCTCAGGAGATAATTTATCTTGAAATCAATCAAGTTAAAACTCTGAGTATCCTCAGCAAAAATATTGATAGACTCCTAGAAAACTTCAATGTGTACCACCCACATACCCCCCTCTATTTTCAAAAATATATCCACAGGCTTCCATGATAGCATTAGGATTCCTACTCAGGATGCAGGAGAAGCCTGGGGACAGCAATCTGGTTAGGAGACCCAAAACATGGAGAGGCAGGGCCTGGAGGTGGGAGAGGGGGCAGCTCTAAGCCCTCCCCTGAGTCATTAATCTGTGGCTGTTGCCAGAGCCCTTGGAGAAAACCAGCAGGTTGTAAGATAGTGCCCCACCAAGATGTGTTGAAACAATAAACAAAAAGGAAGCAGCACTGAAATTTTAGAAGCAGACAGCTTTGGGATAGTGGAGAGACCATTGGTTTGGAGCCTGAAGCTCTGAGTTTGAATATTGGCTTTGTGTTAGCAGCTATGGGTGATTGGGCAAGTTAATTTTGAGGACTTGTTTTCTCATCCATGAAATGGGAGTTAGGATATCCCCATAGGGTTGTTGGAGACTTAAAATTGAGTGTGAATGAGAAAGTGCATTAAATTCTAGACAGTGTGGTGTCCTTGAGAGATAAGAAAGAGTAGGTGGGAGAGGAGGGCTGGGGGTGTGATTAGTGGATCGATGGTAGCTGACATCATCTCCACTTTTCAAGCTGAAGCCATTGGCCGCCACTGCCTGGCATCTAGGCACCTGCTTTGCAAGTTCAAAACCAAGACTTTACCCATTTACCCTGAGTTGGTCTTGTCATAGCAGTGAAGGTGAACCACACTCAAAGAGGCCAGTAGGTGTGAAGATAAACCTAGTTTAAGATACTCCCCTATCCCTTCTCTATGGCTCTCTTTCTGTCTCCATTACGGAGATGTCTTCAAGCCTACATAGG